ATAAGGTTTTTTTTTTAGTTGGAGTCTCACTCTGTTGCCCAGACTGGCATGCAGTGGCCGCTCCCAGCCACCGCAGCCTCGACCTGCTGGGCTCCAGCAATCCTTCTACCTCAGCCTTCCAAGTAGCTGGAACTACAGGGGCGCGCTACCACGCCCGGCTAATTTTTTGATTTATTGTAGAGATGAGGGCTCGCCAAGTTGCCCAGGCAAGTCTCGAACCCGCGGGCTCAGGCAGTTCACTCACCTCAGCCTCCCAAAGCGGTGGGATTATAGGCTGAGCTACCGAGCCCGGCCTCAAATAAGTTTTTAAAAAGTTTTTTAAAAAAAATAACAGTTTTCTAGTGTGGCAATTTCTAAAAGATCTAAAAATCGACCTTCCATATCACCCGGCAATCGCCATTCTGGTAATATATCCAGAGGAACTCAAATCACTCTATAAAAAAGATACCCACACACGCATGTTTATTGCAGCATTATTCACAATAGCAAAGACATGGAACCAACTATGCTGCCCATCGAAAGTGGACTGGATAAAGAAAATGTACATATACATGATGGGATATTACGCAACCATCATGAAAAACAAAATTATGGATTTCACAGCAACTTGGATGGATTTAGAGTCTATCGTACTCAGTGATCTATCACAGAAACAAAGATCTGATTACCACACGTACTCACTCATAAGCAGACCCTGAACATTTATCATAATACTATAAGAAAGGGATTGGCAGTAGTGGGACACTGCCAGGGGAGGTGGGGACACATAACATCAATAAGGCTACCCAACTTTAAACCAAGTGAAGTGGGGACCAAGGGGAGGCCCAAACTTTAGCTGTAGAATGACCACTTATGTGCCTAATTGTACCCCACATCTTTAAAAAATAAATACAAATAACAGTTTTCTGCGTATAAGAACAAGAACTACCTACTCTAGAAAACCTGTACAATTCAAAATAAATCTAAAACAGAAAATAAAAACCACTTGTAAGAACATTTCTCAGAGAGAAATATTGTTGTTTTGCCACATTTCTTTCTAATTGTTGTTCCATATCCACCATTTATTACTCAATTAGCATCAATCTGTATGTGAACATTTTCATATGTTGGTAAATACATATACATATCAATATTGTCAATGGTTCCTAGTGTCCCATTCTGTGGTTGTTACAGATGTCATGAGATGCTGGAGTTGGCAAGACTCTGGCAGGAAGGGAGGCCCAGAGAAGGCCTCCTCGAGGGACAAGGCTCTGACAGACAGCCCTGGCAGGAGGGTGGAGGATAAGCAGTCACACCAGCATTTTACTTGAGGAGCTCTCTGTGCAGATGGAGTGGAGGGGTTTTCTCTAAGGCCAGGGCAGGGTTGGTGGTCAGGCAGCCTCTGTGTGCTGGATGGACCTCGGACAAAACCTGGGAGAGTTTCACCTGTTTCAGGCACTAACCAAAGGGCTGGGACAAAGGGCCATGACTCCCACCATCAGACTCACTTCTCAGCTATGAAGACATTGGGCCAGACCTCATCCACTTCATTCCATGGGGTCTCTTGGCGGTCCTGCACCAGCGCCCGCTGTAAGTCCAGGACGCAGGGGGTGTTGTACAAGCTGGTGTCATCCATCTTCTCTCTGACACGGTTGTACAGGTCTTCCACCAGCAGCTGCTCGGCAGACTCCAGCATGCCTGGACACTCTGTGTCAGCTCTGACCCCCCGTGGCTTGAGTTCTAGAGAGGACAGGCCACATTCTCATCAGAGTAGGAAATACCATGGCTTTCCCTGTCTCTTGGGAGAAACTGCTCTTGGCCAGTTTGCTGCCAGGCCTTGGCAGGGACTGAATGCCAGCAGGATCTGCCAGGAAGAACTTGATGGGATCTGAGGGGCCTGCTGCATTGGCCTGGACACTGTAGTCAGGGTCAGCAGTAGGACTGTAGAGTATAGGTGGGTGAAGGGGAAGCCATTTCCCTTGCTCCTTCCCATGCTTCTCTGAAGCTGGCTGATGCTCTTTATTTATTTTGAGTTGGGGCTCACTCTGTCAACCCAGACTGAAGTACAGTGACACAATCACATCTTACAGCAGCTTCGACCTCCTAGGTTTAGGTTTGGGATTAGCCTCCCAAGTAGCTGGGATTATAGGTATATGCCACCACTCCTAGCTAATTTATTATTATTATTATTTGTAGCGACAAGGTCTCGCTATGTTGTCTAGGCTGGTCTCGATCTCCTGGCCTCAAGTGATCCTCCTACCTAGACCTCCCAAAGTACTGGAATTACAGGCATGAGCTACTGTGCCTGGCCATGATGATTCTTTAGACTGAGGTCCTTAAGCACTAGGTGTATGTCTGTTTCATGCTTGTAACTCCCACAGAGTCCATCTAGAGTGGATGCTAGAAGTATTTACCAAATGCAGAAGTAGTGTTTATTCCTAAAATAATTTACTCTGTTAGCTTGAGTCCTTTATACATGAAATGTAAACACCCCAGGAAAAGTAAAACTTTCAGCAGTCACTTATTCAATATGACCTCCTCATACACATTTAACCTATTTTCTTTCATTTATTGTCTGCTCTCACACACAAGCATGTAAGCACCTGTGACTCTCAGACTCCCAGACCTCAGTCTGGCGGCAAAGGGCTGTCATGAGCTCTCATGTTCCAGTTTCAACGCAGGACTCAGGGCCTTTCTGACAAGAGGTCAGAAAAGCTCCAGTTCTAAATGAACTCAGATCCCAACTCATCCACATCCAGGGTAAACCTTTATCTTCTTCTGATAATATATTTGCTCACAATTTATCAAAATTTGGGAAACATAGTATGCTTTCCCTTTCTAAGAAGGTAGATAAGAAAAGAGCGAGCAAAACCTTTTCTCTTATTTGGTAGCCAAAAATACTGAACAGAGAGAAAGTATGTATGGGGGGAACCTGAAAAGTGTGTCCACTGTGTTGACCATAGTCTCTTGCAGGCACTCTCTCCTTCCTTTATGGGCAGTCCCGGGGCAGAGGGCTGTAGGGAGAGACCAGCGCACACGGGAGGAACCGCCTCCTAACAGTCTGTAAGCCGGGCTTGCTGCTCAGGGACTGCACAGCCTGGAGTCCTGGTGTCTGCCTGGGCCCAGGATTCCATTTCCCTTCTCTCTTTCCTGTAAACCCCCTGATGGGCCCCTACTTCCCTGCATCAGGTCTCAGCTTTAAATGTTCTCTGATCTCCGTTTCAAAAGCAGAAAGAAGAAAACCCCTGCAATCCCAGAATTCTATTTTGTTTAAAAATAGATGAAGTGTTCCTATTTTCTCCACCACCCAGTTTTCTCTGCTGGCTCTCCTGGGGTCTTACAGAGAAAATGCAAAAGCCCCTCTCCTTCCTTGCTCTACTTAGATGTCTTTGCTGTACTACATGTCAAAAATAGAACTCCCAAAGCCTCATTAAAATATACAATATTGTTCTCGGCTGTTTATGGAGCAGGTTGTTGTTGAGATTTCTTCTCTTTTCAGTTTAAAATCGAATGTCCCAGACTCTCCCCCACTGGCAACTCCCACTTTCTGAGGTCTCTGGTTCACACCTCAGTCCCTTTAGAGTTCACCCTCTTCCCTGCATCAATTCTGCCTTTTTATTTCTATCACCTGACACTTCTCCGGAAGAAAGCAAAGCCCACACCTTTCTCCCCTGCACTCTCTCAGAAGTATGGCCTGGGCAGACTTTCATGAAAACGGAGGGTTCTTCAACAGACATTTTTACCCCTGTAATCTCTAGTGAGCAAGGTGATGTTTTGAAATATCACCTGGTACGTTTTTCCTTTCTCTCTAATGTATTGTTTTTTTTTTTCTCTCTCCCCACAGCCCTTCAACCACTAAAGCTAATGAAATGGAGGCTTAAAGCCCCCAGAGAAGGGGAGAATAGAGAAGACCTGGGATTAAAAAAAGGCATTGCACATCTTTTGGTTTCAGACTAGACTTTGAATGTCTGTAGCATTCTATAGACTTGAAAGTGGAGCTTTCAAAGAGAAAAAATGTTTTTTTCACAATTCCTAAAGCTGGACTTTTACTTATCAAGAACCAAAGCCTGGAGAGTGGCTCATAGAATGAAGCACAAAGCAGAGATGAGGCAGAATGGAAGGTTAGGGAAATTTCCAACCACACAGGAGGAAGAAAAGACCTTCCAGAGTTGGGGTGGTATTGGGAGCAATTCAGAGAGAATTGAACTAGGGTGAAGACATTGCCTGGGTTGGGGACCTTGTCCTGGCTTGTAGTAAGATAACAGAGAACCCTGGTAGGGTATGAAAAAAAAAAAAAAGAGGGGTCTTTGAGAAGATGGAGACTCACAGAGACGGCAAATTGAATTTCTGGCTCTTTGTGAGATGTGCAAGAGATCCAGATGTCCTCCAGAGATGCTGGTGGGGACCCAAATGGGCCAGGGGACTGAGAAAGGTCCAGAGTTAGTGAAAAGGAGTAGCATGTGTTGTGCTCAAGACTAAAGGGTGGTCTCCAGTGGTGCACGTCAGGTAGGTCCAAAGGCCAGCTGGACCCTGTTTCATTAGCAATGTTGCCTTCCTCCACCCTACCCCACCCCATTCCACCAGAAGTATAAGAGGTCATCCAGAGAGAAGGGAAAAGAAAAGGGAAGAAAGAAATTGCGGAAGACTATTTGCTCAAAATTGACTAGCGAAAGGATCCATCCAACCAGGATAAGTATCCTTAAATAAAATTTAGTATGTCATCTGCTCCAAATTTTACTAGGTAAATATTAACATTGCTGCCTGTCCTGCCTTTCTCTCCCCGTTCTCCATACATATTTCAGTTTGAAGACCATCTGGATAGGTGAAAGTGCAGATCTAGACATCCCTTTGAAGATAAATCTCTGGATGCTTCTAGCCATTTCTTGGGCTCTCAGGTCTATTCCTCTACCATGGCTTCTGAGGTGACCAGAAACTGAACATGTTACTCTAGGGGCAGATTGGCATTGCCTCCCTGGCTGTCAACTAGAGAACTATTTGGTGCACAATAATGCCCACCTCTGGCCCTTCAAAGTTAAGGAGGTGGGGTTGGCAGAACTGCCTTCTTCAGAGCTGCTCCTCTCAGTATGACTGGCACCACCTGAGAAGCACATGACATCTTCCAATGGTCCCTTCCAAGGGCCTCCGGATAACCCCTGGACTCTCCCACCAGCTTCGGATTGCAGTACCTTCATTGATGATCTGCTTGGCGGCCACGGCTGAGGAGAGGTGGATGGGCTCCATAAAGATGCTTTCTGTTTCTGCATCTGAGACCATCGAGTACCTGAGAGAAGAGGAGATTTGTGTGAGATAATCCTGCAGCATCTGAACGAAAGGCAGTCTTTCAGACAAGCAACCTGGATCTAGCCGGGCTCGGTGGCTCAGCCTGGATTGCTAGAGCCCGCGGGTTCGAGACCCGCCTGGGCAACTTGGTGAGACCTCATATCTACAATAAATCAAAAATTAGCCGGGCATGGTGGCACGCGCCTGTAATTCCAGCTACTTGGAAGACTGAGGCAGAAGGATCGCCGGAGCCCAGCAGGTCGAGGCTGCAGTGGCCGGGAGCGGCTGCACTCCAGTCTGGGTGACAAAGTAAGACTCCAACTCAAAACAAACAAACAAAAAACAAAACAAACAAACAAATAAAAAGAAACCTGGATCTGATTTTAGCCCCAAGTAGGAAACAACAAGCGAGTTTAGGGAGCTTGAGAATGCAGAATGCTGGGTCACGTTCCTATTTATTTTCAGACCAGAGTTGGTGTCTACAGTGTGTGGACTGATATTGAATGATGTGGTGGTCTCTGTGTGCAGGGAAGCACATGTCTGTGGTTAGGGGAACCCACTCTGAAGTAGCTTTGCTTTTTTGGATGTCCTGCTGCTTATTTTTTCCCCTTGTCCCCTGTTCCTGTGCTGTCAACTCTACAGGCTGCACCTCACTGTGCCTCTACCGGGCTTCTGCTGGATTGCTGGGCTGTGGAGGCTGCCACTTTTCCTTCTGTTTCTTCTGTTCTCTACTCCTTCTTCCGGCTTGTAAGGGAAAGGGCCAGTGATGAAGGACATTTGCACAGCACCAAATGAAAGCCTCAAACACACAGGTCCTGATACTGAGCACAAGAAATCAAGAGGCAGGCTGAGCCCTAAGATGCAAAAAAGTAGCTTGGGTAATGCCAAGGCAATTTCCCAACAAGAATTCAGTGGAAGTGTCAAAAGGGACCCTTGAGGAACATGAAGAGTCCAGAACAGAGACAAGGGCTTGAAGCATACTATAGGGTGAGTGTGGAACTACACCATGGTTCACTAGCAAATACCTCCCTAGCCAGTTCTCCCACTTTCCAAGTGTTGTGGTGAGCCCTGGGTCCTTCTTTTTCTTTAACTCCAGAGGGGTTAAAAAAGTGGGGAGATTTGATGGATACCATTGTGAGGACCTATGAATTTAATCCTGACAACCCCTCCCCCCCACTACACAAAGTAGGTATTATTATTATTCCTGCTTTATAGATGAGAAAACTATGGACTGAGGTGACCAGAAAGGTTAAGAAAATTGCCCCAGGCAGTAAATAAACGGCAGGGCAGAATGCAAATTAGGGCAGTCCTGCTCTGAGTCCAGTGTTCCCTCCACAACACACCTATACTGTTTAGATTTGTACAGAGAAGTGAGTGTATTGGTGGAAGCAACGCCAGATGGATTCCCAGGCCCAGTGTAGACTTTGATCAGAAAAGTACTTAAGAAATACTTGTTGAAAGCATGGATGGAGGGGTGGGTGGATGGATGAGTTGAGTTGAATGAAGTTGTGTTGAGCTGGGTTCAGTTGAACTGAGCATAGCTAACTTGAGCTAAGATAAATCAGAATTACATTGAATTGCTGAGCAGAACAACTCTCTTTTAGTAGGTCCCAAACACCAGTGTCTACCCTTGGGAAGATGGTGAGCTTAGTGCCAGCATGGTCATGGAGAAAGAAACGCCCTAGCCAGGAGAAAGAAGTAGGCTGTGACTCTATCCAGGACATGGCCAGACCCACCCAAGCAACTTAAGGGACAGCACGAGGTAGCATCATCTTCCACAGTTTCTGAAAGTTTTCTGACAGTGGTTGTGTCAGCTCATTCCCATCCTAGCACCAAGTACTCCTGTGGCTAGAAGATACATTTTCAAACAAGCATGACTGGGGAGTTTGAGGGTGGATTGAGGGTGATATTTGTTCACTAGAGGCTGGCATAGGCAGGTCTGGCCACGTCCTAGATAGAGTCACAGGCTACTCCTTTCTCCTGGCCAGTGTGTTTCTTTCTCCATGTCCTTGCTGGCACTGAGCACATCATTCTCCCAAGGTGGACGTTGATGTGGATACTTTCTACAAGGGAATTGTTCTGTTCATCAGTTCAGTTTAATTCAATTCCAACTAGTCTTGGATGTCAAAACTAGAGAGGTCTTTAGAGACCCCATCACTTGGAGAAGATAATAGTTTTCTGATGGCAGTTGTATTGACTCATTCTCATCATAGACCAAGTACTACTGTGATCAGAAGGTACATTTTCCAATAAGTATGACTAGGGAGTGAGGGTAGATTCAGAGTGAGGTTTGTAGGAAACAATTATTGGATGTTAAAAACTAGAGAGGTCTTTTGAGTCTCCTTGCTTGGTAGAGGTAATAAAGACTAGAACCTATGGTGGGGGTGACAGAGACTCTATAAAGGGCCTACAAATTGGGTGTTCTTATTTACTCCTGTGTCTCTAACACATGGAAGGTGATCAGTCAGGGTCTGCTGACCGAATGAGTGAATGGTACACAGACAGATGGGTAGGTGGATGAACAAATGGCTAGTAGATGAATGGATGGAATATGCTAGGGCTGGGCAAGGTGTCCACGTACCACTTGGGCTCACACCTGATGGTCTCCAAGTCCCTGCAGTCCCTGGTCCCTTCCGCCTCTCTGGCCTGAGTTTGTACTCTCTCGTTACTCTTTTCTGGTACACTGGTCTTCTTTTGGCTATTATTCTCACCAGGTTCCCTCCTGTCCAGGGTCTTCGCAGAAGTCCATTTCTGCAACCCAATGCTCAGTCCTCCTCCACGCCCTCATTTTCCAGATTTCAGCTCAGTCATTATTTTACCAGGGAAGTGTTCCTTGATCTTGCATTACATGCCTCTTTTTCTATGCCACAAATATCAGATGCAGTTTTACACTTATTTATGAAATCATTTGATAAATATTTGTGTCCTATGCTAGATAATACCCACTATAAGGGCAGGGACTGTGGCTGGGTATTTTGTGGACTGTTGTTTTCCCAGAACCTAGCATAACATCTGGCACAGCATAAATGCTTACTAGATATTTTCTGACTCACTAACTGAATTTGTCCTCAGTAGCACTATCCTTAAAGGAATGCGGCAGTTACAACAATCAGCAAACAAGGCTTATGCTAATCATTTTACTGGGACACCAGTAGCAAGCCCCAAAGCAAAACCAGGGTCTTAGCTGTGTCCTGTCCATGCCTACTCTCTGCCCTTCCAGTCAAGATGTACATAATCTCTGAGGCTTATGTTAACAACTAGCAACTTTTTCTTATGGTAGATTAAAGGTGACCCCAGATCTGTGATACTGCTTGCATACAGTAGGGGTCTGTGTCCACTTCCCTTAAATCTGGGTGGTCTCTGTGACTGCTCTGACCAGTAGAATATGATAGAAGTGAGACTAGACCAGTCTCTGAGCCCAGATCTTGAGGGATACTTTTCCTCTCTGGGCCTTGGCACTCTCTCTGGGGGTCCTAAGCTGGCATATAAGAAGGTCGACTACCCCCAGACCACCAAGTTGGAAGGCCAATGGTGAGCCCCAGCCAACAGCCAAACCACATAAATGAGCATCTTAGTGGTGGACCCTCCAGCCCATCAGCTGGTGCCACATGAAACAGGTAAGTTTGCGCAGTCAAGTCCTGTCCACATTTCTGACCCACAGATAGGGGAGAAAAATATAATTATTGTCTTTGTTCATTACATTTTGGAGTATTTTGTTAAGTACCAATAGATAATAGGAACATTGCTATTACAGGGGCTGAGAAGTGAGTTTTAGCAAATGCTAAGTCCCTCCTGTCCCTAATAGTGATAGAGAACTCAATGAATATTAGTGACTGACCCAAATATGCTGCAGATGGGAAGCGATGACAAAATAACGCCAATATGGAAGAGCGACCCCTGCCTCTGTGTCAGACCTCATGGACATCCTGAGTCCAGGGTTCAGGAAAGTCTTGGCTTTAAATATTAATACTTCATAAAGCTAGAGTCAGAGCTTCAAATTTTATATAAATGTAAGTCACATTTTCTAATTCAACAATATGTGTTAAGGAAGTTTTATTATCTTATTTTTCGATAATATTATTTATATTCTTTTAACAAAATATAAATAATTTTTTAAATTAAGGGTCAGTGTTATGCAAAATGGAGTTTGATGCAAAACAAAATGGAACTCATCCATACTGAGAATTACTGTCTTGCTGTGGGGAGCCTCAGGCCTTCCTCCCAGCATAGCCCCTCATTTCCCCCACATGATGGGTTTTCTTTGCTCCTTTGTGGGCCTCCAGGGCTCTGCATTCTGAGGAGGCTTCCAAATCACTGACACAGACAGGCACCCTCACCTGTCAGATGTGTAGAAAGGCCCCACAGGAACTCAGCAGGTGGGGTTGCTGGGATTCCGGTGTGGGATATTCTTTCTGGGAACCCTTGATCATGCATCTTCCCTAAACAAAGTTGACTCAACCTGTGAGGATTTAGTTTTAAGAGACGTTTTCCTTATTCAATGTTGGCTTTAAATTGTGAGGATTTGGGTTTTAGTGGCAAATACTGGGGACCGGAAAGCTGTTCTGAATATACCTTCACTGTTAGGCTATGGATTTGACAGGGAAGAATTTGAAATCAAAATTTGAAAACAGAAATGACTAGGAACTATCTTTCTTGTGTGTGGTAAAGATTGAAATTTAGTTAATGAATTTGAAATCGGAGAAACTGCAAGACCCCACCCAGAGCACTCTTGTAAAGTTGGCAGCTTTATAATTGAGAAAGGGAGGGGTTAAGAACAGATTTCCTTCCCTGCCTCACGGTGTTTCTGTCTTTGGTTGCTGATGCTTAAAAAAAAAAAAAGAGTAAACTTCGCTCAATATTATCCAGTGTGGAATGTGGAGTGTAGATCACAGATGCTGTTATGAGTCAACTGCCATGGGGGAAGATGCAAACCTAATAGTCATAAAACTGTTGACCACAGATACGTTTTATTCAGACTAATAAAGAAGGAAATGCGTAAGA